GGGGAGGCCCGCGGCGGTCGCCGGGGCGGAGGAGCTCCTAGGGTGTTTGTGCTCAAAAGTCCAGTCGCGCCCTCCTCCCTCCGTGGGGGACCGCTCTGGACGCGGTGCGCCCGGCCAGCTGTCCGGGGATTCCCGGCGGCGACGCCTGTCGGGGTGGCTCCACTCCAGGGCTGTGCCCACTGGGCTGCACGGCGCTGGGCATCTTCTAGTTTTCATGCGTTTCACTTCGGGACTCGCCGATGCAAAGTCGCCTCCGCCCTGGGCCAGAGTAGTGCAGCGTTAGTGATTTACCCTCGTACCTCTCTGGTGCACAGTGGAATTGCTGAAAGGGACTTAGCCAAGGTCACACAGGTGGGACCAGGGAGGCGACCAGAATTTAGGTCTTTCGGCTCCTAGGCCAGCCGCCAACCGCTGCGCCTTGGGACAGTCCAGAGTGGTTTGTGGTTTATTTCAATGCTTTCTATTGACTCTCTTGGGCAGATCATCAGAGGGGAAAGTGTTGTCATAATGAAAGTGGTCTTGTTATTTATAGTGTTTACTGCCTCTGGTAGAATTCTGCTTGTGCCGTGCCCTGGAGCAGAGCATCCACTAAGGCCCCGGCGTATAAATAAACATGATTGCTCGTTTTGGGGGCAGGTCCAAGAAGAGGCTTAAAGAATTCAGGCAAATGTCATTTTCCTCTTCTATTTCACTTTCCAGTCCTGTAATACTGTTTCTCATTTTACAATTGATCATTGTCTGTTCTAATAAGATTTTCTTTGCTTTAATGAAAAGTCATTGCCCTTTGAATTATTTTTCTAACGAGAAAATCTTATTTTCGGTGTGTCTGATGACTGGAACAAATATTGCACTGTGAAGTTTATATCATTGTCTGTTATCCTAGAAGTACCGATCAGTTTGCTTTATTTCCTCCAGGTACTCAGCTTGCCTACTTTCTATGTTAGTTTAATGCCATTGAAACAGTTTACTACAAAATTTGGGTAAGCTATATTGTATGATTCACAGAAAAATTTTAAAAAGTCGTGTGTAAAACCGTATTTTTTGTCACAGTCTGAAGTACTTGAAGAACTGTTATTTTTAAAAAAGTAAGATTATTCCACTAAAATACCTATTACTTTTCATATTCAGTTTTCCATATTGGCACACTTACGGAACAAAATATATACCTATTTCCCCAGATAGAGTTTGTTTAAATATTTCTTATCTTAGCTAAATCTTCCCAAGGGAAATTACATTTCATGCACTGGCATTTTAAACAAGAATATTTAAGCTTGGCAGAGTTTGAGTTAATAGTTAATTTATTTTATAGTGCTGTAAACCGTACAGTGTATTCATTGATAGTTTGCTCTCAAAGAGTTTTCCTGTATCTACGTATGTGACTGAATTTGTCCTTTGGGGTAGGCGTTGGATAACTTTTGTCACATCAAGATGTGGTACATACATATCTGTATCTGTATCTGTATCTGTATCTATATCTATAGATATAGATAGATAAACTGCTTCCTATCAGATTTACCTTGTTAATTAGTATTTTTATTATTTCTTTGGGGGGAGGATTAAAGTATCAGGCGTGTATCTTTTTCTCTTTCCAGTTTTAGCAGTGTAGCAAAATAGGAAAGAAAGATGGTGTGTAAATTTGAGTTTGTCCTGGACTAGGAGAGAGTGAAACAGGATAAGTATACAATTGTGAGGAAGCTGCCATGAGTTCATACGCCGGAAGGACCTTTTTAGAAGTGTTTAAGGATGTTAAGAATAGCACTGATTTTTTTCTTTCCAAAGTCATTCTGGGCAATATTGACATGTTTGTTGATAACATATAGGATATGATGATTATCGCAGACTCCTGGGAAGATACTTAGGAAAGGTGGTAACATTTGACATTTTTCTAGGGACTTTTTCACTAGAAATATTTAATAGATCTTTTAAAAAAGTGACTTTTTGACTTAAGACTGACAGTTCCTTTCTGTAATTTTTATAATCATACTGGAAATCCTACAGTTATTTTGACTCTAGTATTGTTTGTAATCCAGAATGAAATCTAAGAAATAATTTATTAGCATAATTTAATTCAGAGTTTGACATTGACAAATTGCTGCTTATGAAATAATTGCTCTGGTTTAAATAATTGTTCTTTTTATAATGGGAAGGTAGTTTTCTGGATAGAATGCAGTGATTATTTCAGGATGTGATAGTAGTTATTCACATTCTGTTTTTATTAGATAGAAAATTTCAAGTACTGTAGGAGTAACTGCCATAGAGTCCTTACAATTTGAATCTAGCTGTGAACTAAAGTAATATACAAGTAATTACTTTTTCACTTGCTTGAGCAGTTTGCTTTTGGGAATATTAGAAGTTAATTTTCAATCGCAAGACTTTTAAAAAAATAATTACTTATTTAATTCCATTTTTTTTTTTTTTTTAATTTGAACAGAGACAGAGAGAGAAAGGGAAAGCGAGAAAGCAAACTGCTAGTTCTGGGACTCGAACCGCAGTTGACTATGTGGTAATCCAACGCCTTTAACCACCACACCACCTGGCGGCCCCAATTTCAAGATTTTTAAATCTCATTTTAGATCTTTAATAATACAAAAGATAGTTCCAGTAGGATATACATATTAAAATTTAAGTTTAGATCTTTTGGCCATTCATTAGTATACGGCATTTGGAAATTTGTTGACATGGTCAAAGGGGTTCTTGGGGCAGAAATTTTTGGTAACTTTCGATGTTTGTCTGTAATGCCTCATTATTTTTAGAAACATAAAAATATGGGATGTCCTGTGTAAAAATAAAGCTTACTCGTGATATTTGTTATAGCAGTAGAATTCTGTTACACTTAATGCGCGACCTTAAACCATTTAACCCTGAGTAATATTTTTCCTTGTTAGTTGCCGTGTGGTAAAGAATATGTGAGTTTGTTAATTCCTAGAAGATATTTAAGCAAAAAATATGTTTGCCATTTATTTTAGTAAGCCTTTTGATTAGTTGAATTGCTTTGATTCAGGAAGATAGTATTTTGGGGATTTTATATCATAAGCTTTCTTTGAACTGGTATTTCTGTTGAATGCAAAAAGAAAATTAGAATCATTTAGGATTTTTTAAAAAATAAGTTTTAGGGGCTAGCAGATGGTGTAATGGTTACGTTGCAGGACTCCCACATGTCCAACTGCGGTTTGAATCCCAGACCCAAGCTTGAAACTCATGCTGTGCACCTGCATGTGTGTGCATGCCCAAAATCCTGAGGGGAGAATGGAGAAGGGATTGCGGCACAGCCAATCCCCCTGGGGGTGGGGGTGAGTTCTCGCTTTCTGTCTCTGTCTTTCTCTGTTTCTCCAGCAAGTGCATGTGTCCTATAGTAAAGATCTCTCTTTAAAATAAATAAATAAATAAATGGGGACCAGCAGGTAGTGTGGTGGTTAAGGTGCTGGACCCTCCTATGTGGCCAACCATTGTTTGAGTCTGGGACCTGGTGGCTTGCTTTCTCACTTTCTCTCTCTCTCTCTTTCTCTGGTCAAATTAAAAAAAAAATGAATAAATTAAATAAATTTTTAAAAATTAGATGAGTTTAGAGCAAAGCGTTATTTACTTAATAGAACCCTTATCAGATTTCTCAGTCTGTAGTCTAAAATTGTCATTTTATTCCTTTAGTTTAACTGCCTATAGTTTAACTTAAACATCAAATTCTAGATTCTGGATTAAATTTAACCTCTTCTTGAAGGAAGGACAATCACAAGCACTAGAATTGGAAGCGATCTCAGAGAGCTTCTAATGTAGCATCTTACCCGGTACAGTAAATCCCTCATGAGAATTTCCATGTCAGGTGTTCCCTCCCATTACCCAGGGTAATACTGTTCCATATGTCATCAGGTTATTTAGCAGTCTGAGCTTGGTAAGAACAAACAAAAGACAGTTTTAATTTTTACCATTCACTGCTTTCAACTGTGCTTTGTAGGCTCTTCCTCCTTCCACCCCTCTGCCTCGTGACATCATGGGTAAATGATAGCTTTTCTATCATTTACATCTATTAAAAGCTCCAGTCTAATCTATTCCAGTTTAAACCTTCAATCTAATATTCAGTTTAAAGTGCCTTTCCTCCCTTACCCTACTGTCAAGCCACTTATTGCCTGAAGCACCTGGAATAGGGAGGGATTGTGGTATGGTCCTAGGATTCTTCTTTCCTTTTCCTGTTCAGAGATCTACTGGGACAGGGACTAGCCAGCAGAGAAAAAAAGATACAAAGTATTTCTTACCTTGTGCTGTGAAAGCCCTCACTTGATTAACAATAGCAGGTCATTGATGTCCAGGGTTAGGCAACCAAAGTGGCGTTTTTTGGTGACAGTTTGCAGAGAAACTCCTATTTCAGAGTTCCTGGATATTACATTTTCTGTGGCTAAACCTTTCCCAACCTACACATCTATCTCTGCATGTCACTATCCTGTCAGTCCATCCCTTGGTCCCGTGAGTGTGAGTTGGGGTGAGGACCTTTATTTCTGTAGCCAGATTTTTCTGATGATGGCAAGGCAGATTGAGTTTAGGTACTTCTACAGTTTCACGCGACCCACGGGAAACTCCCTTATGATACCAAATGGTGGCGTGTAGGCTTCTTAAGTCTGCCACCTTTATGTACTCCGCTGTTTATTGTCAACTCTCTCTGACCTCGACTAGCATATATGGGCATAGAATCAGTCACTCACTCTACTGCATAAGCAGACATCAAAATTGAAAAATGAGACGCCAGTCTCCCCTTCTTTTAGGCACTTCTGATTTTAGTGAGTAATTTCTTTTGAAGACTCCCTGCCACTTTTCTAGGTGAACACCCCCTCCTCCTTCCCTGAAGACTTGGAAGATTTCTAATTCTTTCCCTCTCTGCTGCTATCTGCTTATATAAAGTGGAAGGACCATAAGGTAGTGGTTAAGGAGTCGGAGTCCTGAGAGGTGTGTGGGAGAAGGGAATTAGAGGGGCATTTCCCAACTCACAGATAATTTGATTCTTGATGTCTGTGTGTCCTCAGTTTTGTATTAACAATTCTAGGGCAACAGAATGAGTCCTACTTGACGTCTGATTAATCGATAATAGTGAAATCTGTGGGCCTGAGGTCTCACTGTGCAGAATTTAATTTTTCTGTATTTCTGATTTTTGTTCTTTTTTTTTTTTGGCTTATTTCCTGGCCTCTGACTAATGAAATGTTAACTGTATATATGTCACTTTATGGCTGTTTTGTAAAATCTAACTACTTAGAGCATGAGTAAAGCTGAAAGATAAATTTTGGGGACCTTAATATAGTTTTAACTGTCTTTGCCTCATATTAGCTTTACTGAGAATATAAATATAAACAGAAATACAGTATTTGAATCTTTTTTCTTCTAAAATTTTAGCAAACTAGTTAAATGGGCTAAATGACTTCTTTTCTGCTGAGGAAAAAAATAACTTTCTGGGTAGAAACTTACATACATATGTAAGATGCAGTAATTGTGGGGTACTCAATGTTTCATTCATTCAACAGATAGTTATCAGGTGCCTACCACATGCCAGCCACGTTTTATGCATTGGAGAGACAAAGGTAAATAACAAAAATATTCTGCTCTCATAGTGCCTGCATTCCAGTGTGGAGAAACAGATAAATAAAGATAAATAAAGTAAATAATATATTTTGTTAGATATCAGTAAATGCTAAGGAGAATAACAACATAGGGCAGAGAGAGAGAAGTGGCAGGAGAGTTTGGATTCTAGATAATGGCTTAAGGGAAGGCTTCATTGAGAAAGTGACATTTGATTTAGAACTCCCTGATGGGGAGCTTGCCTGGTGAGTCCAGTGTCCAGATAAGTGAGTAGGTGAGGATTGAGATGGGGCAGGGAGGGAGGTGAGGCCTTTAGGTAAGGCTCTTTTCTTTGAGTAAGATAGTTTATGTTGAAACTATGGTTTTCAGCCTTGGCTGAGCATTAGAATGATCTGGGGAGCTTTAAAAAAAGTTCTGATACCTG